CCATGTGGCGAGTTGGGTAAAGGGCCAATATTATCATGCCTTAATCCCATTACTCTGGAGCTGAAGTGGAGAATCTTTATTATGTAAAAGGATTAGCTTGGCCTTCTTAATGGCCCATTGACAAAAAGGGGGGGGGGCAGGAAGCTGCAGGAAGTTTCTCTTTAAAATGTTTCTCCCTTTCACATCCATCCAGGGAAATATAATATTCTGCCTTTTCAACATTTCCTAGGATATTTCATTTCTCTGGGAGAGGGCTGGGTGATAACTTTCCACAGTGTAATAACCCAATTGATTGAGATTAATACATTAATCTTTAAAAATGATTACTAAGTTAAACAGGGAGATGACTTTTTATTGCCTACTGTTGAATACAACGAAAAAAGTATTCATTGAATTGCAACATTCGAGTGTGTTTGGCTAGACAACTTCATTATTATATCATGCATAAATTGTAGAGCAGTGAGATTGAATATCCAAGAGCAGGTAACACCCAAGGATCATACTGGCACCTTACAGTGCCTGAAGTAAACAATTGCAAAATGAAACGAAAACCGAATGAAAAAACACAGTGCCCCCGCCCCCCGGAAGGAAGCGTGGGTTCGTTTATCCTTTCATCGCTACTTTACAGGCATCCCCACAGCTCGGTAGGCAGAAGCCAACTTGAGTCTTCAATAAGTTAGCATCCCTTTTGTAACGGGGTTTCTAAAGCTGTTCGCCCCATATTGGGGAAGAAAGAAAGCCTAGCCATTAGCTCAACTATTACAATCCGCTTGCTTTATGTCCGAACGCCTCACTGAAAAGGAAAGCCTGAATCGTGACTTCGCTGCCTGGAGGTGGGGAAAACGGGGCTCACGTTCGTCCCTTGACCCACGGGTGGTGGGTGGGCGCTCACACTAAAAAGTCGCTCTTTTGAGAGAATTCTCGGCCGCGCAGAGGCGAGTACAGGATTATATGTAACAAACTCATTCGCTGTTGTCGCCTTCATTCAGAACCGCGGTATAAACACCTCTATGAATCGGGAAAGTTATCTGGTTATCTATGCATTTACGACTTACTATATTTTAAATGTTTTGCGTGAACGTGAAGCATATAGAAGTTTCCGAAGTACTAATAGGCAAGGATACGTTTGGATTCCGATGAACCACGAACTGGGAATCCCACGGACTAAGTACTCAAGACGGACTAGGTTAAATTACGATTGGCTGGTTGTAATTTTGCATCATGGGAACCGAATCTCACGGTTCCTCGCGTTTCGGAGTTTTTTGCCACTCACGAGATGGCTGCCGCAACTCTTCCCCCTTTCCTTTTCCCCGGTTGGTCAGCGCGTTTGCAGACACCGCCTTCTCTCTGCCGTCGCGCACTGATGAACGCATCAATCCTCATTGCCACGTCTCTTCAGGGCAGCAGCATTTACAGCAGCAGTAGCCGCCGCCGCCGCGGCCACAGCGGGGAAAGGGCGACGCGGAGGGAATTGGGAGGGCTGTGCTACGCCCCCTCCCCGGCCTGGCGGGCTCCCGGCCTGGCGGGCTGGTGGTGAAGACGCTCATGCTGCTGTTGGAGAGGCGGTGAGTCGTATTTGAATGGCCGCCTTCTCCTCCTCCTCTATCCCCGTGGTGTCTGGTGTGTAACCGAGACACCCCGTTGTAGCCAAGCACGGCCCTGTGGCTTGGCATAGTGAAGGCCGCCTTCGTGCTTTGCTTCTGTCGTCGTTAGTCGCCTGAGAGAGAGTTGTGCTTTATCCCGTTGCCCCTTTATCCGTTGCGTTGGGTTAGTGAATAGTTGGCCTTCCCACTTTCTTCTTCAGGGCTTTTCCGTTTCGCAAACATTTTAGGCTGTTCCTTGCTCTTTCTTCTCCTCTTGTGTTTTGTTAGCTCTCATTCAAGCAACCTTTTTGTTGAGAAGAATGAAATACTTAGGCAGGAAGTAGACTGTCTTACCTAGAAACATCTGTGTTTATAATCCCAGGCAGGTAAGATCGGACCTGGTCAGTACTTGGATGTAGGACTTAATGGGAAGTCGAGGGCTAAGGGTTAAATTTGGACAGTGAAAAAAACATCCCAACAGAAGACCGTGGCAAGCTGTTTCTGTGATATTAACTGGGTCTTAGAGGTAACAGAATTTGGGTTCCTTTTGAAGGAGATTTACTTCTGTTTATTGTTGATAATGAAAAATGTTGCTGTTACTGTATGTTGTTCTTTTGTTGGAGTCTGCTTAAACTTCTTAGAAATCCAAACTTGCAAGATGTGGCTCCACTGAGTAGTGAGTGCCACATGTATTTAATTGTTTGTATAAAAGTTATGTGACCTGTAGACATTTGGGCAGAATACATCTTGAGAGTATGAGGTTTCGTTTTTGAATACAGCTAGTCCTCGAGTTACAATAGTTCATTTAGTGGCCATTCGAAGTTAGCAAGGAGCTATTTATTTTCTGTGGAGAAATGTTCATGAGTGCTTTTTAAAATAACATTTACTTTATTGTAAATGATCATCAAATTAACAAAAGAGCTATAAATATTTTTATTTTCTGAAGTAAATTCTGTTTGTACTATGCTTCTTTCCTTTTCAAATACAAAAATACTTGTAAGCAATTTTTTACTACTATTGGTTAAGCATAGTTACTTTCATTATGGCTGGGCCACTTGAATATGTATTATATTTAAAAGTATAGAACTGACAAGCAGTTGGAGATGATAGATACAGTAGTACATAATTTTACATAAACAAATCCATGTCAAGGAAGAACTATGGGATTCGGAATATTACAATACAGAATCTTTAAAACTGAGATTGCAATGGATGTGAAAAATGCATACCTGAACATGTGGCTACCCTGAACCCCTATCTAGCTCAGGACTGGGCAGTCTCTAAATTTGGGCTTCTTTCTGGAATGTACTGTGTCCTCCCTGTGAAAGTGTTGCCAAGACTCCCTCCACTGCTTCTCAAGGTGCACCTTCTATCACACTTTCTTGATGTTCATTTTCGTCTTATCCATTTCCACTTCATATTTTCAGTAATTCATTCCTTAAATCACTTGATTGGGCTAATTTATATGAGATTGCTGTAAAGATGATACAGAAGCAGTAGCTGATACAAAAAGTACTGGCAAGATTATTGGCATTGCCAATATAGAATTACAGCTGTATTAGTTTTAAATATGAATTGCTGATAGGCTTTTAGGCTTAAAGGTTAAAAGGTATAGAGTTGGAAGGGACTCTTAGAGGTCTTCTAGTCCAACTCCTTGTGAAGCAGGAGATCTGTACCATTCCAGACAAATAGCTGTCCAATCTCTACTTAAAAACCTCCACGTCAACTTCTAGAGGGAAACCATTCCACTGATTGTTCTCACTGACAAGAAATTTCTCCTTAATTCTAGGTTGGATCTCTCTTTAATGATCTTCCCATCGCATTTGTCCTGCCTCAGGTGCTTTAGAGAATAACTCGACCTTCTCTTCACTGTGGCACCTTCTCAAGTACTGGAAGACAGTTGACCTATCACCTTTAGTTCTCTTTATACCTGGTTCCTTCAATTGTTCATCATATAGTTTAGCCTCCTGTCTCTTAATCATCTTTGTTGGTGTTCTCTGCACTCTAGAGTCTCAAATCTTTTTTGTATCATGGTGACCAAACCTGGATGCAGTATTCCACATGTGGTCTTACTAGTGCAGTAGAAAGCAGTACTAACCCTTTACATGCTCTTAATACTGTCCCTCTATTGGTGCAGACTAGGACTGCATTGGCCTTTTTGGCCATTGTGGAACACTTCTGGCTCATACTTACCGTATTTTTGGAGTATAAGACGCTCCTTTTTCCCACAAAAAAAAGGTTGGAAATCTGGGTGCGTCTTACACGTTAAATACAGCATTTTTGGCCTCCTGAAACTCCGCACCTTCACCAAAATAGCCATGCATAGCTTTTAGAAGGCTTTCAGAGAGCTCCTGGGGGCTGGGGACGGCAGAAATGAGCAAAAAACAGCCCATTTGCCCTCCCTCCAGTCCCCAGCAGCACTCTATAAGCTTCCTAAAGACTACCCATGCCTTTGGGGGGGGGGGTTGCTCATTTTTGACCCCACCCCCCAGGAGGACTCTACAAGCCTCCTAAGAGCTATTCATGCCCTTTTTGGGGGGGAAAGGGGGGATATTTTCACGAAAAGCAGACCATTTTTGGGAGGTTTGCAGAGTGCAAAACCTTTTATTTTTAAATTTTCCTCTTCAAAACCTTGCTGCATCTTATACTCTGGTGCATCTTATACTGTGAAAAATACTGTAAGTGATCATCCACTAGGACTCCTAATTCCCTTTCACAGTAATGCTTTGAGCCAGGCACCACCTATACTATATTGGTGCATTTGATTTTTCTTGCCTAAGTGTAAACCTTCCTTTTACAGCACTGATTTGCATTTTATTGGATAGGACTTAATTTTCAAGTCTGTCAATATCCTTCTGTTTCTTGATTCTATCTTCTAAAGTGCTGGCTATTCCTCCCCCAGCTTGATATCATCTGCAGATTTGATGAGTTTCTTCTAACCCTTTATGTAAATTGTTGAAGGGTACACCAAGCCTTATGGTACTCCGCTGCATGCTTCCCACCATATTGATGTAGTTCCAGTAAGAACTACATGTTGAGTGCAGTTGGTTAACCAATTACAAATCCATCTGGTAATGATGCAAACTATACCATATTTTTTCAATCTTACCAAAGAAGGCTGTGGTCTACTTTGTCAAATGCCTGAAGTCCAAGTGTATTACATCCAAAGAATTTTGCTGATCCACTAGTTTTGTCACTTGGTCAAAGAATGCAATATGTTTTGTCTGTCATCATCTGCTTTTGACAAACATATTGGCATTTAGTAATAGCTTTGCTTGTTTCTAGGTATTTGCAGATTCGTTGCTTGATTATCTTTTCCAAGATATTTCTAGGTATTGATATCAGACTGATTGGTCTATAGCTTGCTGAGTCCGTTTTTTTTCCTTAGGAAAAAATATTTCAGTACCAGTTCTAGTGGTTTAGGCAGCAGCTTAGAAAGTGGAAGACCATGAGTTATAGTCGCACTTTAGCCATGAAAGCCAGCTGGGCAACTTTGGGCCAGTCATTCTTGTTCAGCTCGACTTACCACACAGGATTGTTGTTATGGGGTCAATAGGAGGAAGATATGTTGGATATGTTCATCACCTCGAGTTATTTGTATAAATAATACAAATAAAAAGTACTGGCCATTAGCTGTCAAGCTGTAAAATGACATTGTACCAGGATATATGAGGATCCTTTCCAGAACTGTATCTGCCTGTCTAATCTGCTCATCAAGAGAGGGCCTGGTAAAAGTTCCCTGCCTTCATGACGCCTGCAGGTTGTGGCTGACAAAACAAGCCTTTGTCATAACTCCCACCTTGTGGAATGTTTTCTCCCAGAATATATGCAATCCCCTCCTTGCTGCAATTCTGGAAACATGTTTCCTGGTTGTGAGTACTTATCTTAGGTTCTATTTGAGTTTTTGTGATTAGTTTTTGATTGTTTTTGATTGATATTGTTTTGATTGACATTATGTTTAGTTTTCTTTTTGGTGATATTGTACACAGCCAGACTCATTTAGAGAGGTTATAAATACTGTAAAATAAACAAATTCATAAATATTTGCTCATTCCTCATTCATTCTTTCTGTATGACCAATTAACTCAATGAACTTTTTTTTGTATTGGTCACAGTACATCTTACTTTATTCAGTTTTTGAATATTTCTCTCAATATACTATCTCTTTTCCACAGATAGAACTGAATAGAAGCACATTCTTATTTAGAGCCTTTTTATTTCTGTTGAGAAATGTTCATTGCTTGGAAAAGAGCACTCTGCCATTTTACCATTTTATCTTAAACATCCTCATTTTCTATCTACCATGGTACCCAAAGTCATATATTTGTTCTAATTTGTTATTTAAGTATAACTTGTAATTGGGTTTTTTTTGTTTAATGCAGTTTTTTACTAATGTACATATTGTATCATTTGTACAAACTGTCCCAAAAATGCTTTTTCAAGAGGCAACTGGATTTTTTTGAGGGGGGGAGGGGGTTGAAGACGGTTTGCTTCTCATCCAAGAAGCTTCTTCAGCTCTGACTGGATGGTGAGGAATGGAAGGATCTATACTCCTTGCAGACAGCTGGTCATTTGCATTCTTTTAGAGAGTTGTTGAGACCACTTGGAGGTTTATCTGTGTCTTCAGGATCACCTGAGTAGTGCAAATGAGTGTGGAGCCTTCTTGGAATTGCTGAAGGGACTGGGTTGTAGACTGGCAATAGATGATGTTGTAACCCTCCCACTCTGTTGAGAGAGGCTGTTGAACAGGAATAGGACATCCTCTATCTCCAGTCTACAGCACAGTCCTTTCCCCAATTCCAAGAAGGCTCCACACTCATTTGCAAATTCACAGTGTAAATGCAAATCTTAAGACCAATGTGCAGTTCCAAAATATGCTTTGATTTTAATATGATAAAGTTGCTTTCAAATTGCTTTCAACTCTAAATCTCCGGTTTAAACTCTCTAAAATATTTCTTATTATGTAGAAATATTTTTATTGTATTAAATAATAATAAAATAACTTTAGATTTACAAACTTGCAACTTAAAATAGTTTAAACCTGTATTCCAAATTATAAATTTTATATTCTGAAATCACTGTCCTAATAGTTCTTTTGCTTCTGATTTTTTTGTATATCAGTGAAATTTTGATATATTCTGTTTTAACAAATTAATATTAAAGCATAATATTTTAAAAACTCATGCAGCATCTTTTTAAAATTGTTCCTTTATGAACTTCCCTAAAAATATATTTACTTTTAATTATTGCTTTTGTCTGTGCAAAGTGCATATGATCAACAACTGCTGCGCTTTCCTTTGTTTTAGAAGGTTCTGTGGAATAATTGCTTCCTTCTCATTTGTAGAATTGGGAAATTGTTACATAAGAATCAGGGCAAAAAGTGCCAGAGGTGGAAGAGGTGGATTGCTTCCTGGTCATGCCCGGTGGAAGGAGGGGACCCAGCCGGCAGCAACTAAGCCGTTCAGCTTTGCCTTCTCTTCAGACATTAGTTGGTGGAAACTGTGGCAACGGAACAGGTCTGAGAAATAGGTAAAATCTTAAGTCTAACATTGTGTTTCCAAATCTATTTATTCCCTGTTATCATTGGATATTGTTATGTCCAAAAGAGTACCAGCCATTGATAATTTGTCCAATACCTTGATTTTTTAAGGGAGGCTTTTGCCTTGTGTTCAGCGTATTGTTATGATACCTTATTCATCTCAGTATGACCAGAGCAGGACAGCCTTGATGTCTGGGGTCTAACTTGCATGTTTTTGAAGGGATTGAAGGCTCCAATAGACAGGCAGTAATGTAAGTGGACAGTTTAGTTTTTCAAATGGTTTCTGTTTTGGGGAGGAAGGAAAATTTATATAACTTTCATAGGTAGTTTGTAATCAGTCTTTTAAAATATTTGAAGTTTTGCAAAAAAAGAAAATTGGGCTGCCTGCAATTGCCAAATGCCTATATATTCAGCTAAAACATCTTCCGACAACAGTTTGAGCCTCATGCAGTAGAAGCATCTGGAAATATTGTTACTAGGGAATTTTGCTAAACTATTGTTACTAGGGAAAACTGGAAATCCTAAATTTCCAGTTAATACATTGTGTAATGGAAAACTTAAGATGATGCAGTATATCGTCCATAACTTTTATGCCATAATGTTATTAATCTTTACATCACAATATGACTGTTACTGCATTTTTAAAAATCTGTTGCAAATTTATAGATCTATTGTAATCAAATGAATATAAACAATTTAACATCTAAATGCTAAATACCGTTGTACAACCAGTGGGTAACAATTATTTTTGGTTTCAGGAATGGTAGTACTCTCAGTCTTTCTGCTCCTCCTATCACTGCTCTGATTACTCCTGAGCCTGTGAGGCACTGCCGAATCCCAGAGCTCCCTGTGGATGGAAATCTTCTATTTGAATTCCTTTTTTTCATCTACTTGCTGGTGTCTCTTTTCATTCAATATATTAATATTTACAAGACCGTTTGGTGGTATCCATATAACCACCCTGCCTCCTGTACATCACTGGTGAGTTCATCTTTTCTTACCCATCCCAGGATTAATGAGTCTCTGTAATTAATAAATATATATAAATCATCAAGCACTAATCAATATTTCCAATAATCATATGGCAGAAGAATGAAGGAATTGCAAGAACCTTGCATCTCAGTTTTGTGGTCAGCATTTGTGGGTTGTTGGTTCCTCATCTTTCAAATTTTTTCTTGAGAGACACAACCTTTTTCTTACTTCCACTCTGGGAGAGTTACAGTAAATGTGGCATTTAATATTACGATATTAAAATATGATATAAAAAGTGGTTGTAATCTGTAGACTATTTATCCCAAAATGTATTTGATTCATTTTGATCTGAAAAATACCTCCCTGCCAACATAGTAAAAAATGTCTTGATATTCAGGGTTTTTGGAATGTTCCTTCAGGTATGCATGTCACAAGAAATTGGGTAAGAGAGCTAATACAAGCCACAGTGGTGTAGTGTTTATAATGCAGCACAGCAGGCTATTTATGCTGACTGCTGGTTGATTGCAATTTGGCAGTTCGAATTTCAACTGGCTCAAGGTTGACTAAGTCTTCCATCCTTCCGAGATGGGTAAAATGAGGATCCAGATTGTTGAGGGCAATATGCTGACTCTGTAAACCACTTAGAGAGGGCTGCAAAGCACTTAAGTGATACATAAGTCAGGGCAATTGCTAATATCTTAAAAAGTAGAAACAAAATTCAAAATGATTTTGCTAGAATAGAGAAATTAGTTAAAATGATATGGTAAATAGAGAGAATTCCAAAGTTCCTCCCTTAAGTAACATAAATCAAAGGTTGGGATATCTGGAAAGTACTGTGTTTTCCCAAAAATAAGACCGGGTCTTATATTTTGAAGGACCAAAAAACTCATTAAGTCTTATTTCCAGGGAATGTCGCCCACCCACTCTCTCTCACCATCTGTTTGTCCGTGGCCACAACAGCTTACAGGGCTTCCCAGGGCAGATATACTTTTCACCTGGACAGAGAAATGATGGAGAGTCAAAGCTTCATCTGCTTGCAAATGGGGCACTTTGAAACAGCTAAACATGTTGGGATCACCTGTCTCCCCATACCTCTGGCTCTGCTGCGCACTTTTCGCCCAGAGGGAGACAGAGCTACATCTGCTTGCAAATGGGGCACTTTGAAACAGAGCTAATCACTCTGTTTCAAAGCATCCCATTTGCAAGCAGGCAAAGCATCATTTCTCCCTCCAGGTGAAAAATGTTTGGGCACCTTTGGGACGCTTGGGAACAGAACAAAATGCCCCATTTGCAAGCAGAAGCAGCTTCGTCTCCCGCTGGGTGAAAAGTGTGTGGTGGAGGCAGAACCATGGGGCGGCGAGTCAGGCGATCCCAACGTGTCGCCCACTCCGTCTCACCATCTCTCAGTTTGCCAATGGCCGCACCAAGCAGGCACCAATGCAGAGCCTCAGCTTGCTGCCGGTACTGCCACACAAGCCTCCGGTGAGGCAGGCAGTCATGCAGCACGCCCAGTTTGCCTGTCTCCCCCGCCTCTGCCTCCGTGCTTGGACTTATCTGTGCTGTGCCAAGGGGCTGGGGTGCTACAGCTGCTGCCGGACACTGTCGGCCCTTGTGTGCTTGCCATCTCTTGTGCTTGCCACACCCATTCCCCTGGGCTTATTTTTGGGATAGGGCTTATATTAGGCTCACCTCAAAAAATCAGACTAGGGCTTATTTTCTGGGAAACACAGTATGACTTTGTAATGTACTTGTGAAAAATATCCTGGAATAATACTTGATTCCAGCAGTGCAATATAGTTGATAGAAGGCAAATGCACTTTTAGGCTGTGTTAGCAGAGAATATTGTCATCCCTTGACAGCAGAATATGTTCAGGGAAGAAAGAATCACAGAGAGTTCCATTAATTAAGTTTGATGTCAATAAATAATATGTTGGAATACAGGAAGCACGGCTTTCACCTTCATTTATGAGTGAATCCATTATTTTGAATCTTGTTCTCAGAATGTGAAACTGAAGGGCTTGATATCTTTTTCTCAGGTAAGGCATCTTACTGAGACATCTACTTGCTCTTGGTTAGTGATGTTTGAAATCATCCCTTTTCTTTCTTAGTCTGAATTCTTTTAAGCACAATTTCTGTCACTATCTGATTTAGTCCTGCGCCGTGTCAAGAACTATGTACAAGTGTTAGCATCACACTTCTTCAAAAGACTCAAACAGGGTTCAGAGCTTCAGAGCAAAAACATTGAAAATTAAGTATTTAATCGCATTTGATGAGATTAAGCATTTGGGCATTTCTAATCTTGAGAAGAAAAGACAATGAACGGAGGAAAGTCATGATAGTCCTCTTTTAATTAATTCCATATCTTTTCTGTCCTATTTAAGACATAGAATAATGGATTTTAGAGTACAGGTAATCCTCCACTTAGTTTATTTAGTGACTCTTTGAAGTTACAATATCATTGATTTATGGCTTACAACTGTTACAACCATTGCAGCTTCCCCATGGTCATGTGATCAAAATTCAGATGCTTGGTAACTGACTCATATTTATGATGTTGCAATGTCCCAGGGTCATGTAATCACCTTTTGTAACCCGACAAGCAAAGTCAATGGGGAAACCAGATTTACTTAACAACCATATTACTAATTTAGAAAATGCAGTGATTTACTTAAAAACTGTAGCAAATGGGGCAAAACTCACTTAATAAATGTCTCACATAGCAACAAAAATTTTGGGGTCATAACTTGAGGACTAATTATATATAAAAATAGACATAAACCATTTTAATTTAAACAATAACATAAATTCTTGAAAAAAGTCATTAAGAACATTAATTAAGAGTGTTTCTGAGAAGGAAGAGCTCTATAGTGAAGAGTGTAATAACAGCTGCTCTTAACTGACTACAGGAAACCTTTGAAAAGTATATTTCTATCAAAAGAGGTATCATAAAGTATTGTGTAGAATTTTTTAAAACTATCATATTCATATTCAGAGTTTGTGAACAGAGTTGTGGAACATATGTACAAGTTATTCAAATTGTGTAAACAAAAAATGCATTTTTTTGCAGATAAAATGCATTTGCAGATATACTACGTTATGGTTTTGTTGTTTTGTTTAGCTAAGGGTTTATTGAAACATACTGTCAACTCTCTGTGTTGACATTCCATGCAGAGCGTCAGCAGAGCCGGATCTCAGATTACAGTAGCTGGGTTGAGATGAATGAAGCTATTGGATAACGTGATTTATTGACAAAGACTGAAGGGAGGGAAGAAGCACAGGAAAACTTGAAAAGGAGATAAAGAAAGCAAAAAAGATGGCTGCGAATAAGAAATGCCTAATGAAGCTGTTAATAAATCACTGCTTTTTGTATTACAATATCGGGTCGCTTATTATGAAGGGTACTTTACAGACAGCCATATTTAAGCCATGACACCCCAGGAAATGCAAGAAATGTGCAAATACATAGACAAAAACCTAGCACGAGGGTTCATCGATCCAGCCAAGCCATGGGTTGTAGCGCCAGTCGTCTTCAAAGAGAAAAAAGATGGAATAATGGATTGTGTGTGGACTTTCGAGGGGTAAATGCCGTGTGCGTACACAACCTATACCAACTCCCCCTCATGAAAGATATGCTATCTCACTTGGCCAAGGGAAAAGTCTTCACCAAATTAGACCTCAGAGAGGCATACTACCTAATACGGATCAGGGAAGGAGATGAGTGGAAAACAGTGTTCAACTGTCCCCTAGGGAGCTTCCAATTCAAAGTGGTGCCTTTCGGACTACAGGGAGCCCCAGCAGTGTTCATGCAGTTAATAAATGAGGTGCTGCATGAGCATCTCTACAAAGGGATCCTCATCTACACTGAGACCATGGACAACCACATACCCCTGGTCCGCCAAGTACTGGAAAAACTTCTGGCAGCCAACCTGTACGTCAAACTATCAAAATGTGAATTCCACCATGAGTGACTAGACTACTTAGGCTACCGAGTGTCAAATGAGGGAATAGAGAGGGACCCAGCCAAAGTGCAAGCCGTCCTAAACTGGCAACCCCCTCACACCTGCAGACAGCTACAAAGCTTCCTAGGGTTCACAAACTTCTATAGGTAATTCATCCCCTCCTTTGTGAAAATCGCCAAACCCCTGAAGCCCAGGAATAAAACCTCACCCGGGACAACCTCTACAGTGGGACCTAACCTGCCAAAAGGCATTCAAGACACTAAAAGAAATGTTTGCAAAGGAACCGGTGCTGAAACATCCTGACTTCAAGCAACCCTTCGTGATCCAAGCAGATGCCAGCGACATGGCAGTGGGAGTGGTGCTACTCCAAAGAAACAACCAAGAAAACCTACAACCCTGCGCCTACACCTCCCACAAGCTCAGAGACACAGAGACGATGGGCCGCATGGGAAAAGGAGGCTTTCGCAGTGAGATGGGTACTGCTAACTGTTGGAAGGGGGCCAGAAACCATTTGAAGTCTGGACTGACCATAAGAATCTGGAGGCTCTTAGGACCCCACGGAAACTATCACCCAAACAAGTCCGATGGGCTCCATATTTCAACCGCTTCAACTTCGTACTAAAACACATTCCAGGGCAGAGGAACTTTCAAGCTGACGCCCTCTCCCACGTGCCCCAGTACAAATGCGAATGGGGTGGACGCCATCATTCCCTCTACCCAAATAGCTGCCCAAGTGACCACCAGATGACAACGCTGTGACCAGCACAACCAACCAGCAGGCAACCTAATCATGAGACTCAAAACTGAACTGCTAGCAGACCTTGGTTCCAAAACAACCAACACATCTTGAGAAAAAGAGATGACCTTGCATGGAAGGGGACAAAACTCTATGTCCCGGAATCCCTACGCACCCTAATTCTCCAGAGGAGCCATGATGCCAAACCGGCAGGCCACTTTGGACTCCTAAACACATTACACTTAGCCTGGAGGCAGTTCTGGTGGCCCAAAATAAAGAAAGATGTGGACAATTATGTGAAAAGTTGCACCATCTGCGCCACAATGAAGAGGCAAGCAGGAAAACTCCCCAGATTGCTGCAGCCAGTAGCAGAGCCAACGAGGCCGTGGGAGGAGATCGCAATGGACTTTATAGTAGAGTTGTCAAAAAATGGGGGAAGCACGGTGATTTGGACTGTAATAGACAGGCACACTTCATACCCTGCAGTGGACTACCCTCAGTTCACAAGCTGGCCAAACTGTTCCTGAAGAACATCTACCACCTGCATGGAGTACCTCGAAGAATTATCTCAGACAGAGCGGTCCAGTTCACGGCTAAGTTCTGGAGGGAGTTCCTGCGGTCCATTGGGTCATCCCAGGGCCTTAGCTCGGCTTTTCACTTGAGCACCAATGGGGGGGGGCAGAGAGACTGAATGCTATGGTAGAGCAGTACCTGAGGTGCTACGGTCCAATTGGGCAGACCTTCTGTCTTTCGCTGAGGTTGCATACAATAATGCTGTTCACAGCAGCACAGGACTAACACCATTCAAAGTAGTGAGCGGCATGGACTTTGTCCCAATGCCTGAGTATCCAAGGGATCCCCCCTCCTCAGTCAGCTTGATTGACTGGATGTCAATGCTAAAAGCAGCCTGGGAGAATGTCAAAAAAGCACAAGCTAAAGCAGCACAAACCTATAAGAAACAGGCAGATAAACACCAAGCTTTGCAGCG